TTGAGGCTGCAGTGAACTATGATGGTGCCACTGCACTCCAGCCTGGGTGACAGAGGGAGATCCTGTCTCTTAAAAAAAAAAAGAGTGAATGACACTCATTTTCTATTGGTGTAAAAATGTTTATGATGAACCAAAAATGACACAGATAGTGAACAAAGGCAGAAGGCTCACACATTATGAAGAGCAGGCTCTGAGTATAGAGACCATAAATTGCCATTTGCTCATAGTCTCAGTGGAATTATTAATATCACCTCTTTTCATTTTCAGGAGAAACCTAGTTTCCTCCTCAGAGGGAATCCAGGAATATAGCTAGTGGGGAGGATATAAACAGTATTTGGCTCATATTAGGCACTCAATAAATGGTACAATTTGATGAATTAAAAAAGGAGAGTTTCTGTCATGACTCCACCAACGATGTAGATATGCACGTGTGCATGTAACTGTGTGTTGATGTGTACGTATTGTGTGAAAAGATACCTTTTTATTACATAGCAGTGTTCTAATAAATGATCTAACGTAGAAGTAGGAAATCTGGGCTGGAAGTTTAGGGAGGCAGGCAACTGGCACCTGAAACATTTTTCTATTGAAAGCTCAAATTCTACCACTAGTTTAGGGTGCATTGCAAAGTTCTGCTCCATTAAAATGCACAGGTAGTGACAGCTCATTCAATCAAAATATAAAAGTAAGGAGATTTAGGATTTGGTTAGAGCTTGTTGAAGGGCAAAGGGAAGGATAAGGATAGATGTAATAATTCAAGAACAGGGGAGCATCTAGTGGGTATTGCTAACAACACCTGTACTGAGATTTTCACAAATATCAGAGTAGCATCCCCCAGATGAGCACTTATTAGGAATGGAGTGCAAAGATTAAGAAAATAAAGAGGAGTGAGAGTTTTATGAAATGTCATTTTCCCATGCCATTGGGCATGCTTGATTAAAGAGATTTTTTTGTGAGTTGAGTCCTACTGAGACAGCTTATTGGGGTTTCTTTTTTTTCCCATTTATTTTATTGCATTTTAGGTTTTGGGGTACATGTGAAGAACATGCAAGATTGTTGCATAGGAACACACGTGGTAGTGTGATTTGCTGCCTTCCTCCCCATCACCTACATCTGGCATCTCTCCCCTTGCTATCTCTCCCCAGCTCCCCAGCCCTCACCGTCCCTCCCCTATTTCCCCCCAACTGACCCCAGTGTGTAGTGCTCCCCTCCCTGTGTCCATGTGTTCTCATTGTTCAACACCCGCCTATGAGTGAGAACATGCGGTNAGAACATGCGGTGTTTGATCTTCTGCTCTTCTGTCAGTTTGCTGAGAATGATGGTTTCCAGGTTCATCCATGTCCCTACAAAGGACACAAACTCATCGTTTCTTTTAATTAAAGTATCTCTAGATTTTATATTAAAGTTTTAATAAATGTGTAGAATGCTACCATATTATATTACCAATTAGAGAATACATTCCTGAAACTATCTATGAAGCTTTGTTAAAATATTGCGAAGCATTAGTTCACATTTTTAAAGCAAACAAAGAGAAACAGATTTTATAGTATATGTATATATATTATAGGTTCCAACAAAGGATGCATCTATAGAAGTTTTACAGTTATATTTATTTTCATTTGGAGGAAACAGCTTATTTTAATAGCACTAAAATTTTAAGAAAGTCTAAGAAATCCCAGCCTTTAAATATATAATATAAATACATACAGTAATAAATAAAATGATAAATGCATTTTAATTCAGCAGTGTAAAATACAGAATATTTCCACACCATTTTGCATTTGATTTTGTTCTTATATTTTGGTATGCTTTTTGTTAGAAATACATGACTAACACTCCTATATCATTAAGCTTTTTATTGAAAAAAATATTATTGCATTGAACTACAGTCCAAGTAATTTATTGAATAACCTAAAAAAGCTGCTTTGCATGTACAATAGTGCAATTTACTTAGCCACAGTATAGTTTAAAAAGACAATTTATACAGAAAATGCAAAATAAAATTATTGGTTTACGTATCATATTGCCAGAGGTTCACCAAGTTTAATTACAAATTAAGTACTTAATTAGAATTAAGACGGGAATTTGCTTTAAACAGCTACACAACCAATTTACATTGTCAACTATTTTATCTCACATACTGAAGGAAATAACAATTTTGTTTGGGAATAAGAAACCTCTTCTTGAAGTTATTGTTTCAATATGTGAATATGTTTTGGAAAACACTGTTTTGAACAAAGATCAAGATCTACAATAAAAGACTAAAGAGTATTTTTATTAAAAACACACACATTCACACCCACGTGTGCACTCATACACATTTTAAGTTTCCCAATTTGCCTGATTTTACTTTAATGTTTCTCACAAGATATTCTTACTCTTGCTATTTAAGAAAAATGGGGGGTGTGGTTGGCAGAGGGGTTGCGTAAAAAGGAGTGACTTTTAGAAAAAGAATTAAAAAGGGGATTGGGAGCACCCTTTCCTATATGTAGCTCCTATATGAAAATGACCCTTTGGCTTATTCTAAACCTAACCCATTCAGGGGCTGCTTCCATTTAATATAGCTTAATCCAAAGATACAACAATCGCCTTCAATGTCTACCTAATAGAAGAAGCGGATAATATTTTTGCTGGAATGAAATGATAACCTTAGAAAATCCTCTAGACCCAGGCTTATTGGCAGCAGAATTTGTATTTTAGTAGGAAATTCTCGTCTTATTGAAGTGGTTTCAGTCTGAGCCACAAAGGGCAATTACCTGTTTTCCCAACTATTGTGTGGAGCTAGTCACTCACTTGCTTTTTAATAATGTTTTTACTTGCCAACGAGAGCACATTTCTCTTCATGAGTTCATAAAATTTAAAGAATAAAAACTAAACCATTTCACAAGCTTTGCTGGGCTAGAGATGAGCACTAGGTCCATTTTATCCTTAAGTATCTTAGCTGTATACATTGATATGTAAGATTTAGATATCTTAAATTGTGTTTTTACAAAACTGGATCTGATATTTATGTATATTTTTAAGAATGTTAACTATGTTTCTGAAAACTCAGAAATGTGAATAACTTTTTAGAAAATCTTAAGAAATGTGCTACTAATTTGAGATGATCAGCCATATTATTTCACCACTAAGGAGTCAACTATCCACACATCCTGGGGAGAGCGTCTGGACGTTTCATTCACGTACATGAAGAGCACCTGAATACCAAGTGGTATCTTAATGGATAGACGGATCTCCACATCTTCAGTTATTGTTTCAAATGTTTTGAAATGTATAATGTTTTGGGATCAGCTTGAAAGTATGGTGGTAAAATTCAGAAAGCTGTGTTGCCATCAGCATTTACAACTGTGTAAGTAGTAACTTCATGCACTAAGGAGATAATGAGATTCCGCAATAGAATCCTGAGTAATTTTACCAGTTAAGTGTTCCACTTAACAGAAATGTTTTACAGAATTAGTGTCTTAGAGGATATTTCCATTCAGAAATAACAGAAAGATTCCATTAAGTCCTGGCAGAAACTAAAGAAAAGGGGTCACTGTTAAATCCATTTTAGGTAGATGAAATAAATTTCAAGGGATCATTTTGTAAAATGTCTACCTAAGCAAAAAACTCTGGGAATTGGAGACTTTCTAAATCATTCTGTATATTCCAATAATTTCCAATATTTTATTTATAATGCCTTAAAGGTAAACCTTAAGTTCACCTTTACATTTTTATAGGCCCATTGTATTTTTTTTTTATTGCTGAATTTGGCAGGGAATTATTAAGAAGATGAACTTCCCCAAATTTTCAGTTCTTCATACAAAGCACTTATTTTGTGTAACTACACCTCAAGATCAATGATACTATCTGATGTTAGACTGGTTTAAAATCTTTAAGAAAACTATATAGATAAATGTATGTTTGTGCGTGTGTGTGTATGTACTTGTGTATAAGATTTCACAGCCTTTCTTAAGCATTTAGAGTTTGAAAGAGATTTTTATAAACTGCCTCCATAAGCCACTTGTGAAACAGTGATTCCATAAAGAAAATTACCCTGTAAATATCAGGCAATAGTCATAAAATAAATTTAATGCTCAAAGTCACCTGTCAAATAATTAAATGGAAGGAAATACTGCTAAAAATACAATCCATCACAGTGACAATTTTTTTAATTGAACTAATTTAAAGTTTAATATATATTTAAAATTCTTTCTGTTTTATTTTTTTCCCGGAATGTGTTTCTCTTAAGGTAAAATAGAAAACAAAACTGTGTTTCAGCCCACAGTTATTGATCTGGGGGGCGTTAGTTGCATATTTGCATTTTTCCTCATGTGATGCCACAATTTTTCCAATTTCTCACTCTGTAGTACAAATGATCTTTTATTTAAAGGGAGAAGTCTGCTTTCTACATAGTCCAAATTAGTTTGTCTGGTGAACACTTCATCACTGTTAATACAAGATGGAATAGTCATTTCCATGTCATCTGTTCATATCAATCTGTCTTTATTAGTCAAAATTAAGCTCTCAGTAGAGGTGCTCTGGTCTAACTTGAGAGTTTAAATTGTCACCAAGACAATTATAAAAATCAATCAGATGGCTAGTGTTTTTATAACAGGACTTCTAGTGAGTTCCCATGATTATCTTGGCTGTGTACCAGCTTTGTAATTTTTTGATTTAGGAAATAATATTTCACATTACTTAAAAAAAAACCTGCTAGACCATTTGTCATCCATTTTATAAGAAATATTTCATTTATCTCGCTTCTTTCTGAATTTACTCATTGTCACCAATGGTCTTTTATAATTATTTTCATGGAATTCCATGCAAGTATAGCTTCTTGATATTTGATGGTTTTTCTTCATTTTTCCAATCCTTTTAAATTGATTAGATTTTGTCACTGTTATATACCACTCAGAACTCTTATCTCACAAGTTTCTGATGATATCTTAGAAACTGCAGTTTTTCTTTCTGTTAAAACTTCAAATTTATTTTATCTCCTTTTATTCTTTTTATTCTCTCCACTCTTTCTCTCTCACCTCTCACCGTCTCTCCTGAATCAAAGATGTCCTTTCCTACTGTTTACCAAGTATTTAGTATTTAACTTTTCTACTTCATTTTCCTTATCTATAATAAGGAATCATAATACTGATTTAAAAATACAGTTGTGAAAAGTAAAGAAGATAATGCAAACAAGTGGTTAGGGTGACTCTACCTGAATCACAACAGACCTTAAGTAAATATAGCTGTCTTCATTTTGAAGCCAAGGCTGAAGAAGACATCCTCTAATCTTCTAGTGGTAGAGGAGTTTGCATCTTCGTATAGGCAGCATTAGTAGATAAGTGACCACCTCCATTTCTGTTAAGTTTGATTTTCTCTGAAACTCAAGCTTAAGAACATAAAATAATAAGCCTAACTCTAGGATCATGCACCAATATAGATGTATGAAATAAACATTTTGTGGGCCAAAAACCATTTTGAATGTTTGAAATTGTTTGCAAAATTACATGTATGGTGATTTTATTCATCATCATTCATTGTTCCATAAATATCTAGCACAATTGAATAAAACACACCAGATATTTAATATCTTCAAGAAACATGTAAAAACATCGACATTTTCAAACCTTTACTTCTATCCTTACAGGTATATTAGCTGAACATAGTAAAACCTTTGAGAAGAAGAATAATAAACACTTAACATCTTAATTCCTGTACTATTTGATAGATTGACCAATATATTTAAAAGGTTATTCTGAGTACATTTTAGAGTTTGCTTTATCAAATACTAATGATAGTTGTATCTTTTTTAATACAAAAGTTAAACATTCTTAGTTTTAGATTTTGCTGATTCTTATACTTACAAAATTATCTTGACATAGATTTATGTGAAATGAAGGTAATTTATTTTTCACAGAAACTCAAAAGTACAATCTATAAAGATTGTTTTTACTGAAGTATAATTTTCAACCTAATCAGAAAATGTCTTGTTCTTATTTCCTATGAAAATACAGTAACGGACTACATTAATTGAAAACTTAGTAGTTAACCATAGAAATTACTTTTAATAATCGCTTCATTTCGCTGACCTTTTATTATCTAACAAATAAGCCAAATCAACACTTATTCATTCTCATAACAAACACTTAGAATACAGGGTGCCATATTTCATTTGATTTTTCTTTTTAATTTTAATGCTCTGCTTGAATGTTTTCTGTTGCTATTTTATAACATTACGTGAAAACCCATCCAAAACAAATCTTTCACCCTTTTCCCTCTTCCCTATACCCTTTCATAAAATTATTTTAAATTTGCCTATTATTTTGGCAAGCTAAAAAATTATTAAAATGCTCTTGTTTTAATATTGGCAATTCAGGTCATAATTATATATTGGTCACATTTTGAATTGGCAGCAATATTTTAAATCTTATAATTGATAGGCTGTTTTAAATATATTATTTTATAGGTAGTGAAAATTAAAAAAAATATCCACAAGAGGGACTTTAACACTTATTAGTTCAAGTGCATGGACACATTTAAGGCCTCTTTTACTTCATTTAGCTGTTGCATCTGGCTAGAGCAAGAATGATGGCAAAGATCTTGACCTTGGAATACTGGTTGGATTAAAGGATTCAAGTGGATGATAGAAGTTGTGGCTGGGTTTAAGTGAGGGCCAAACAGTGTAGGAATAAATGCTGTAGGGGGCAGGGGCTGAAGTGTTATGTGAGATGGGTGGAAGGGGGTAGCTGCTACTAAATGCAGGGGATGACCTGCTAAGAAGGTGGGATGTGCAGGGATAATGGTTGGAGTCAGAGTCGAAAATGAAATAGGAGTGAAATGTGCCTGTGAAAGAGGATGAAGATGAGCAATAGGGAGGTGACTGCTATGAGAACTTAAGGAAGCAGAAACAGCAAAATGCTGCAGGAATGTGTGGTGGATGGTGGTGACAGAAGTGTGCTGGTGAACTGGAACGGTCTGTATGGTTGAGGCCGGAGAGAAGGCAGTAGGTCCTGCAGCAGGCAAAACTCGAAGATGCTTTGATAGGAGTTGCTTCTGCATATGCTGCTGGGCTTGTAGCTGTAGGATCTTATATTTATCTATTTCGTCAGGAGAAAATGTTATGGGCTGTTGAATTAAAGGGGGAGAGATAGATTTATGATACATTTCTAATTCGTCTTCGACTTTGTCAGCCTTCTGCATAGTTTTGTCATAGGAATAGTTTATATTTCCCTCTGCATGATTTATATGCATGCTTACATCCTGTAAGTCTAGATTTATTTGGTCTTCTTTGGTCTCTGTTGAATCAGTAACACCAGTATACCTATTAGATGGAAAAGCACCAGGGAATTCATTTGGCACTCGGTCACAGCTTTGAATAAAAGGTTGGATTTCACCAGTTAAAGGTTTTGATTGTTGTTTTGCTATTGGATTCTTTTCTATGTTTAGTGACTGAGACTCTGTTACCAGGTGAATTATACCCTTAGAAAGATGATTATCACAATCAGTGTCTGCTAAAATTGTACAACTATCTGTCTGTGAACTTTTGCTTTTGTCTTTCTCTGTAGTCCTTGGAATTGCACTGTCTTGATCATTTCTGCTCTTACTTGCATACTGTATTTTTTCAGACAAAGGCAATTCTTCTCTGTTACAGCCTGATGGTACAAGCTGAATTGTGCATGGGACTTGCGAATGAGCCTCTAATTCATTTTTACAACTGCTTGAAGAGACCTCAACATTGCTTGATTTTTCCTGACATTTCTTGGCTTGTACTCTTTCTAAAAGGCTTTTTGCTGTTAGAGGGGTCCTCTCTGCTTCTGTAATGTTTAATTCTGTGCTTTCTGGAGGGCCACTGGAACAGTTGTTTAGAAGGCAGCTGATATTCCCGGAGTTACAATTCATGGGCCTGACTTTTCCAAGATCACAAATGTGGGGGCTGCCCAAAGACTCTTGATTTCTCTTGCTTTTATTCAAGTAATAAATTTTTTCTCTTGAGTAAGAGTCCAATCTGTCATGCTGAGTTCCCTGGCAATTAGGTGGTTTTTCACCACTTCCAGTATAGGAAATCTGTGAGTTAGAATCACAATAAATGATTCTTGTAGATTTTGGCCCTGAAAATTGTTGTAGATTTTGGCCCAGTTTTTGTCTTTCTCTGCAGTGACAATATCTACGTTTTGAGTATTTTTCATTTTTAAATGATTCCCACAATTTGCAGTTTCTCTCTTTCTGTTTTTCAGATGGCATTTGGTTGCTCTTAGTTATTTCATCAGACAAGTAGAGACAGTTGTGCTTTCGACATTTCCATTTGTGCCTTTCAACTGAACTGTGTTGTCTTTTACAGAAGCAGAGCAAATTACCTCTGCTATTACCATTGAATCTATGACTTGAACAAGTACTTCTGAGGCTGGACATGTTGCTAGGGGATGTTTCTGAAGGGTAGGAATGCCTATTCAAAGAAGACTTTGGAGAGCATCTCTTGTATCTTCGGTTTCCACATCCAGAAACCTTGCTGGTCATGCTGATGTGGTTGCTCTTCAGAATTACACGGAAGTCTTTCCCATGGTCACCATGACCCTCTATCGTATAAGGACTGGACTTGTAGTTGAATTGCCTTTCATCTTCAAACTGTGATCGAGGATTGCAAGAAATCAGTTTATGCTTTTTAGTCCTAGAGATGTAGGTAGGAAAAGATAGGCCCTCATCCGTATCATTTAGAACTACCTTTCTGCAGCCTTGCCAATGCGCCCCTGTGGGTTCTTTAAGTTCATTCTCACTATTGTTATTCTTTCCAGCACAATCCTTTGGAGACATATTGAGGTAAAGAGGCACTTCAGGATTTTTCATTTCCAAATCATTTGCACTAAAACTATATTCACCCTTATTTGGCTCAGAATCACTGTAGTCCAAATTATATTTTCTTTGGAATTTTTCCCAATCCAGATTACCTATCATCATCTTTGGTTTCAGATATTCATTATCTTCTTGGTTCAATTTTTGTTGGCCTTTGATTAAACCTGAGACTTGGCTCTCTCTTTTAGTCTTCACTTCCAAGGGCTTCTTACCCAATTCTGTTTTTAAGTCCTTTGGATTGTGGCCGTCCTTTGTGTTCCGAGAAAGCTTAAAATCAAAATACAGTGGGTTGCAGCCATAAGAGATACAGGGTTCTGTTTTTGTAAACAGCAGAAGTTCTGTAGGCCATTGAAGAGTGGTGTGGCCATCCTTGCTTTGAACGTGGAGAAAAGGCAGTGATTTAGATGTCACATTATGGGTACATGCTTCTCTTACAAGTCTTTGAACATTTTTGCTAACTCTTTCTGTTTTATCTAAAGATTTTTCTTTGTTCTCTATTCTGGAATTTGGATTCAGATGCACTGTACTCTTTTGCTCACTTGGCTCTGGTGATGAAAACTCATCCAGACATTCAAATATCCTGGCATCACTATGCTTGTAAATGTTTGGTGGGCTGAGGGAAGCATTTGCTTGGCATGGGTGATTAACACAATTTTCTAAAGTGTTCTTCAATGTATTTCTAGTTTCTTTTTCTCTGCTGGAAGGAGTAAAATCTACATCTGAAAGATGAATGTTAGATTTAGAGAACGAAGCATGAATGCCAATTGAATCTTCTAGTGTCTCATCAATAGAGTCATTTTTGTCTTGCAAAATTTTAGAGTTTATGGAGATGGTATTGTGTAAAACACTTTCCAGATGGCTTGGTGAGATGTTTACCTCTTTTTCCTTGGTAAGGTGTGTATCTTTATTTGCAAACCTGCAGCACTTGCATTTATCTGCAGTTTGTTTTGTTTTATAAATGGGTGACTTGTTACAATCATGGGCTTCTTCGGTGTTCTCACTGAAAACTGATGCTGAAGACTCTAATTTTAGGTGCACTTTTTTGGAAAAAGAAAATGATACTCCTGTTCTGTGATTTGCATTGCTGAGATCTGAAGATGTTTGCGGTATCCGATTTCCAAACAAATAACACCTGTCTGCTTGTAATTGGTGTCGATTTGGCATGGTGGACCGCTGTTTATCGGAAATGATTCTGGGAAGATTTTTTCCTTTAAGGAGAAGTGCACTCTTCATGCATGATATCTTTCTGCCATTCTTAACGGGGAAAATTCCTTGCTGGAGTTGCTTTTCTATGGCTATCCTGGGGGCTTTGTATGCTGGTCCATTCCCAGAAACACTGTAAATACAATAAATATTTAAATGATTAAGATATTAGATTTTGAATCATATCTACATATGAAAGTTTTATAGTGTTTCTATGATGAGTTATTTTACAACTTATGAGCTACATCTTCTAAAATGTAATGTTTTGTTGTGCTTATATAGCTCAGCCTAAGTTTTATAGTGGCTGTTTCTAAAATGAATTCTTTATCTGCAGTATTTCGAAATTACCAAAAAGCAATAGCAAGTGAGTACTTACGCTAGAGCTGCTAAAGCATTGACATCACCATATGTGTCCTCCAGAATCTATCAGTCTTTGGAATACAGATTTAACATTATTTCACGAATCGTTTTCCAATCAGTGCATTAATATTAAATAAGAAATTACTAGAATTAAAAGTCACTATAAAATATATAAATACTTCTTTAATTCGCTTTTATGTATTAGGTCTAACATTGTATAACATTTGGTTCCTCGGTTTTAAAATTCCCTCATACTCACTTCATTTTGAAACACAGTGGTAAGTTCTTTCTATATGACTTGTCAGTAATTTGACTAATAACAATAATTGTATAATAAAATAAGACACATGTACAATCTATCTAAATATCATCAATGATTTTGAAATCTTTTCTTTTTCTTCTTACTTACCAAAATATTTTTCTACCATTTCTGTATTATGTTTTATCTTTTAAATATTTTCATAAGATTATCTACTGAGCTTCATTAGCAATTCAAACAGAAGACTGAAAATACCAACACATATAAGAGATAAAATTCTTTAGATTAAAATTATATGCACTTTCACAGTCTACCTATATACCCTCTACTATAAAAGAAGGCTTCACCAGAAAGAAGACAATACCAATCACATGATTTTTCTTATTGTTGGCTTTGAACTGGCATTCTTTTCCTTTGTCTTGTTCCATATGCTTGGATGTGTTTGTTTGCTTATTTCTAATTCTGATTTTTATTTTACTTTCATCTAGTCATTTGTTTCTTGAATATAAATTGCTAAACCAACTAATACCTCTTCCTCATGTTATTGATATTGTAACGGAGAATAGTGCTAAGTCCTTGTTTAACAAATTCTTGTTGTTTTCTTTTATGATTATTTGGCCAATCAGCATAGAACTCTGGAGTCACATTCCTTTTGGCCACCAAATTTCATGCAATTTGCTTCACTGCCTCTATACGTATAATTACAAACATATTGAATTAGCCTCCTTTTATTTATCTCTGAAATGAGTCTGCTTGCGTGCTTGTACGCTTTTCCCTTTTGAAAAAATGTAAAAATATAAATATATATAATTTATTACATTGGTTACATAAAAATGTATATATACATGTATATTAATATATGCATATATATGTATAACGTTTTAACAGAACATAGTTACAGGTTGATTTCTTTGGCTGAATTTTTACTAGTAGTTCTTGGGCACTTTCAAGTTAACTTTCTTCATTTCAGATATATTTTTTTCCTTGATTTCTCTGATTATTGCTTCCTTTGAAATTTATGTTTTAAAATCATTGGCTTCCTGAATATATCCTTTAGGTATTGATATTTATTTCAGTACCTTACTCTATCTTCAGTCTTTTGCTGTAGTTCATGGAGAATTTCTTTGATTTCATTTCTATTTCACTGACTCAATGTTTTACAAAATTTAATCTGTTTACAAATTATGGCCATATGGATTTTAATTTGTAAACAATAATTTTAGTCACCATTTAGTTTTGAATGATTTTAGATTGTCTCATCTTCATGAATTAATGGCTGTAATTTTAAAATTACAGAGTTCCTTTAAATCTTGTAAAAAACTAAATTTAGAAGTTTTTTAAAGCTGTATTCTCTTCCTTACAGTAACTGTTTCATAATGTAAACTTCTTATTCATTACATTATTCTTTTCTTAAGTCATCTTTTTATGTTCTTTAGAGAGGGGATATTAGACATATTTAATGAGAGGAATAGTGAAGAGCATTCTAAGATAGTATGTGGGTTACTGAATGTTTCTTTCAAGCATAAAAGTAAAAAAGGAGCATAGAGATTTTATTAGAACATTATTGGTCTTTGAAAGTACCTCCAGCCTGAAGATAAAAGGAAGTGATCCAGAAACAGCTGCAGTATTCAACTTTGCCTTGGCACCAAAGAGATTATTTTCCATATTTGTAGCTACAATTTGGATTAAGTAGGAATTATGCTTCTGAATTAAGTTAACCTTCTCCAGAAACTTCAATCAATCTGACATTATCACCTGTATGAAACTCAGTCAAAATTATTCCATAAGTCTGGTGTATGGATATTATTGTTCTTCCTTTCCCAATTATATTATTATGTGTATATTTTAGTATCTATATTATATTATATATATACTTTTCTTAATAGTACTTTTGCTGATTATTCTCACACTGTTTTATTCCTTTTCTTGCTTTATGCTAATCTAAATATTCTTTTCTGTACTGCTGTTTTATTTTACCATTTATCTCTCTAATGTGCAAGCTTCTTCCTTTTACATTCCTTTAAAATTTATTTGCTCTTATTGTTTTTGTATTATGTGTGCTCTAGCTTCTTGTCCTTAATTCTGGTTCTCATTTTGCAATTCAAATTGCTTTAATAATTACAGATTTTTCACAAGTTTCAACCTTTTGTCCTTATTGTTAATCTTTGATACTTATTTTTATTCTTTAAACTTTTTATCTTGTTGCTTTATTGACTTTAATTTCCTTTTTCTTAAATTACAGCTATTATTATTTTAGAAAATCTGTTTTTATCTTTGCAGTGTTTCAAATTCTATTTTAATACAAGTTTATGTATTATAATATTATTAAAGCTTTAACATTTTCCAGCTTAAATGAGATATAACTGGAAAATGAAAATTTTATATATTCAGGGTATTCAATGTGATCATTTGTTGTATGCATACAAATTTGCACATCTGTCATATACATAGTTATCATTTTGTGTGGGATAAGGACACCAGATTCACTCTCTTGGCAAATTTCAAGTAAACAATACAGTATTATTAGCTATAGTAATCATGCTCTACATTAGATCCTCAAAACTTATGCATCTTTCATTGAAGGCTTACAAACTTTGACCAATACCTTCCAGTTTCTCCCACCAGCCAGTCCCTGGAAACCACAGCACCATTCTCAATGAAGCTTTAATTTTTATAGTTATCTCCACATGTAATATTTCCCTCCCTTCTTTGGAATTTTATTTCTTTAGTTTTTTAAATATTTTCTTATCTATTTTAAAATAACAGTTAATAAAATGTCTGTAGAGTTAGGCTTTTAATTCTTATTAATGGATTATCCATTCAAATTGTCCACCAAAAATTCTAATACTCTACAACTTAACAAATGCACAATTTGATTCTCTCCTGTTCAAAATGTATCTTTTCCAAACAGAACAAAAAACATATCAAAGCAATATGAATTCTTTAAATTGTGTCATTTCTTAATGATCCACATTATCCAACTCTTATATGAAAACCTTCATATGAAGTTCTTATATGAAGTTTTAAATTTAAAAATTTTAAATGACACCATTTAAAGAATTCATAGTCCCAGAATCAATAGCCTTAAAATTTTTAAATTTTGGAAAAAATTTCATAGCAAGATGTACTATACTTGGACATATATATATGAAGTTCACTTACAGAGAGTGACTATCCCTTCACCTGCATATAATAACTGCTATTGCTGAGGAAACAGGTTGGCTGGAACTACTTAAGAGATGGCCAAATTTGACGACGCTTTATAAGATCTTTCTGGGTTTTTTTTTGCCATCATTTTATCAAGAATCTGATTCTAATATTCTCTCTACCAGTAAATTTACCACTCTTCTCCCAAAGGGTCACAGAAGAATTTTGTTATCTGGATCATCCTACTCAGAAGTCCTCATTATGAGGAAAAACAGCAAAGAAAGATTGTCCAGGAGAAGGGCAATGCCAACGACTTTTTTTTCTATTTATTTTGTTTTTAACTTTCATTTGTCAGTTCAGCTACCAAAATAAAGTATTTAATAATCCTGTTCATTGACTTTTCTTCAGTAATGAGGACGTTTAAGCAGAGAGAGCAATTGGCTAAGAGGCAGGTGTTGGGTAGCAGAAAATTTAAAAAAAAAGTTATTTTCCTAGTTTCACGCTGTGTCTAGAAAGCTGAACGCTTGTCTTTTCTCTAACAATATGGACACACTGTGACCTAGAGAGCGTGCCTATTTTATAAAATCAACAAGATGTGGTTAGGTTTGTGTTTGTTTGGTGAATAAGGTTTCCAGAGGGACAGCTGAAACTTAATAGGGTGGACATTTTCATTTGGAAGCAGCTGAATGGGTAGCTCTGGCAAACTTAGAACTTCTAAACAAAACATCATCATCACCATCATTATCATTATCATCACCACCATCACCACTGCCATCATCAAGGCGCCTCTGATCCTTCGTTATTTACCCCAGAGGAAAATATTGAATGAGTAAGCAGAAATGTAGAAGTGTGACAACTTTCATAATGACTAACAACCAAAATTATAACTGTTGAGACTATTTAGATTTACTGTTGTGGCCTTAAGGTACCTTTCTACAGATGTATCTCTATGGTAGGACTATGGTAGGGCTTGTCCCACTTATTATGATCTGACTTATTGCATCACATCATTAATCACTCAGGAATTGACATGTTCACTAGATTTTATTCCTGCATGCTACCCTAACAACCATAGAAATTTTCTTTCTAAGCCCTATTTTGGCAAGGACTGACTGAGTTCTTATTGACAATATGTTTGAATAACATAAGTCTTTCATTGTATTGGCTGTGATTTCTCATTTATTTTAAATATCATTATCTTTTATGTATTTGCATAAACTAATTAGATTATTCTAAGAGTTACAAATACATAAATACATGCAACCTGAATACTAATTGTATTTTTACTCATAATTGGTCTTACAAAAATAAATGATTCCCTAGAATTACATTTTAAGTCTAATATTTTGTGGTAACTAATTCAGCCCTAACTCCTGTTTATTACATATTACTTTCCATTTAAGCAATAGGGGTTTAAATTCTGGCACAAGGGCATAAATTTCACAATTCATCAGGTTGCTGTCAACCACATTAATTAGCTATATTAGTGTTTTATATTATGATTCATATGAACACAAATCACAATCTGCAAATTTAATTGCATTCCAGGTAACAACTTTGAAACATCAAGTGGTTCCAAGCTTTCATAAAACTGCTATTTTTCAGCTACAAGAATGTATTAGTATAAAGCTTGTTATATTATAATTATCAATTTAAATGGCACTGTGTGGTAAATTTAACTGTATTAATTACATCTTGTTTGTCAGCCAGACAATGATAGTGTTATTTACACTAGACTCAGGTGTGTAGAGGAAAATGGTCAGAAGACTTATTCCCCAACCCCAAAATGCATTGTTATTTATGATTTTTAAAATTATTATAAAATTTAGAAAATATATTGAGAAACAATGTTAATCCATTGAGTCATCTGAATAGAATAAATGCTAATGTATTTGAATCATTCTGGGATCATTTCATTATAGAGTACATTAAATTAACAATATTAGGAAAGAAAAATATCAAAGACCAAAAGTAATTAATTTATGAATGTTTAACTGTATTTGCCTAACAGACACATCTGTTAGTTAATTATTATTTGTTTACATTGTTACAATAGATTTGCCTTTAAAATTTCCCAGTAGGTTGAACAGAGTTTTGCACTATCCCAGACACCTTTAATTCTTACCATTCAGATTGCTGCCTTAACTCAGCCAACTGATGAAGTCGTTTAAGTGCTTTTTCTTGTTTCTTTTCATCTTTCCAAGACTTAGAAGCTACATTTCGAGCAAATTCCCGTTGCTTTAATTCTTTAAGTCTCTGTGGAAAAAGAAGAAAAACCGAAAAGGTACTATCAATAAATAATGTATTCTTTTCTATCTACAAGGCTGCTTCTTATTCTTTATCTTAAGTGCAGAGGTGACTTTCTGGACAGAAAGAGTAAAAGTATCATCTCCGTTGTTGCTATTCTCTGCTCCAAGATACATTTAACAGATAAATGTAGTTGTCAACCAGGTTATTTTTCCAAGCTTGTCACAGTCACTGCAAAAATGTGGTGCAAAGCTGGACCCCAGGCCTTGCTGGTATCACCCTGGCTATGCAACTATAATAATCTGTGTGCCTGTAAAAACACAAATGGGAAAAATGTGCAATATATGAATGAGTATAAAGGGAGGCACGTTATGAGATGCATGTTCCTCCACCCACCTCCCCCTCACTTGTAAAATAGTTGCTATTAAATACACTGGGTGGAATGAGTTTGTTTCAGGAAACAGCATCTGTTACTGTGAAAGATTTTAGTTCAAAGCTCTAAATCTGATTTTGAACTCATTTTTTTGGATGGAGATATTTATCAAATATATATTTCTATATTGTATCCAGGAAGACAGAAAAATGGGTCAGGAATTCCAACTCAGAATAGAGGCATGACCCTGCTTGATTTAAGTTAATCCACCACTTATTTTAATTAATATTTTCTCTAAAACAATTGACTTATGTGCAAGTTGGATCTTTTCTTTAGAATCTGCCACCAAGCACAGCTAATTATATTGAATGAACTGAGAAATAGCCAAAATCAAAGGAACCTCTTGAAGTTTGGGGTTTAATCTTGAATTGGAAGTGTATTTAAAGATTATCTTCTCTTAACTCATACAAAGTGATTTTAAACAGTCTAAAATCTGTGTCTGTTGAAATTATTTTCATTTCCTATATCAAGTATAAGAGATGTTTCCCAGGTATGGAGAAAACTATATAGATATCCTGTGAGGTAATAATACTGTAGCTGACTGTTACAGAGCCCAGGACGAAACCTTTAATGATCATTAGCTTCATTCTTTAAAGGAAACATGCTCATGGGAGACAGTGGTCAGATAACAACATCTAAACTAAGGATTTGAAGAAGACAGATCAGTCTTTCAAAGAGAGAATATTCTGAGCACAAAGAACAAGAACCTCCCAGAATTAGAAACAGCTACAAGTAGAACAGTAGACTCAACCTAAATTCAATTTTTGACAAATACTTCAAATCCTTCTAAAAAATTGGAAAATTTCAAAAAAAATAGAATTCTGCTCTATATGTTATTAGAAAAAAAGATCAATAGTTTTCTGGAAATTATAAACAACAGATGATCTGAGCATTAAAGAGTGGATAGCCTTGGTCAGAAGACAGGAAGAAAGGTTTATAAAATCCTTATTGCTATGTACCCTCTGACTTACTTCCTCAGACCCCATGTACTTGAAAGCCTAGTTCTTAGAGTGAAGGCTTGTCTTACAAGCAAAGACCTTTAGGAAATTGTCCTGCATGATTTAAGAACACACATAAACTATAGTTCAATTTGTCAGAGAAAATTGCTATTTTAGAAAAAAGGAAAGAGTTTATTTTATACTGTGTTAGTACTGAATAACAATACTTCATATTAGATTTATTTAATATTAGGTATTACCAGCATACAAAACTTGCACAATGCAGAGGAGGAAACTGATTCATTTACTCACAGTAATTGACATTTCACTCACTTTTGAAATCTTGTTGGAAAATTTGGGGTACTTCTGTTTCTTTTATTAGCTTTCTAGATTCCAGGACTATACTTTTGAGTTATAGAAATGATTGAGACTTTTGTATTGTTTATCTAACAACAAATATTGTTAATTACTACTGTGTTAATCCATATTATTCTTACTATGAAGTGTAAAAATGTACAAATCAACAAATAATTTTTTTTTCTCTTCAAGGAAGACAGACAAATGTTTATACTTCTGTAAGGTAGTGCTGACTTCTTAATAAGGGTGCACACAACATGTTTTGGAAACATACAGGAATAGTTAAAAGATAATTGTGTTTAGGAAGTTTGTAAAGTTAAAATGTTTTTAAGGAGCACAGGAAACTGGAAGAAGAGATTTTGTTTAAAGACATCTAGCTACAAATTTGGTTTAGCCAGTGCTGAGTGCTCAAGTTTGAGTAGAGAAAAAACCCCAGAGATCTGCCTCAAGTTTTCAGTATACTGATCAATGCATATGTGTGAGAAAACTGTTCCAGTTTAGGAAAAAAATCATCTGAAGAAGTTTAATAAAAACAGCATCTAGCATTCATGAATAGGGGCTGTTTTTACCAACAAAACTGGAAGAACTCATGGGACATTAAATAGATAATTCAGAAAAGCCATGCTTCAGTAGAGAATAATTAGCAATAGATTGAGTACCACTTTACAGTTGCTTAAGAAAATCACAAAAGCAAGAAATAAAAGTATAGCGCTGACTCCAGGTAACTTAGCTGAATCATAGAATAAAACACTAGGGTATGTATAGCAATACAAATATTATCCAACAAAAATGAGAAAAAGTAATAATATCTTGCATCCAATTAAATATTATCAGGCACATAATAGCAGTTAAAACTGGTCTGTAAGTTAAAGAAAAATATATTATAAACTCTACAGCAGTCATTAAAATGATAAAGTGTTTTAGCCAGGAGGACAACAAAGGAGATAAAAGAAAATCATTAAACGTACTCAGTGCAAGAAAATGCGAAAAAAAAGAAAAAAAAAAAAGAAAAACATGGTAGACTGGACAATTATAAAATAAATAGCAAGATAATTAATCAAATCTAAAAATAATAATACATTAGATGTAAATGGTCTAAACACCAAAATTAAAGACAGAGAGTATTCATTTGGATAAAAGTGTGGGGTCCAACCCTGTTGACTGCACAAAAAAGCTTTTTTAAAAGTGAGGACAAATGAACTAAAAGAAAAGAAAGTAAGAGCATATTTTATGTCAACACTAGTCAAAACAAAGCTAGAGGGGGCCATATCACTTTAAGACAGATTGGATCTCAGAGCAAAGATATATTACTAAGAATAATGAAATTTTCTTCATAATGATAATGGAGCTTTAAAATACACAAAGCAAAAAATGGATACCACTGCACAGAGAAAATAAAGGGACAATTATTATAGAATGTTTCAATGTCTTGCTATTAAACATCAACAAAATACTGGAAAAGGTTGCACCAAAGTGATTATATCTGTTATCAAAGACCCTTCCAAAAGTGTGTTTGTCTGATGAAAAGAGGACTGTCAATCACTGGACATATGGGGAGGGCTTCTAAGAATCCAGAGGCCAAATTTTGCCAGCTTCATGCTTTGGCTTAGCCCAAGTTTGATTTTGCTCCTCTTGTTCTGACAAGAACTCATTTAATTAAGCCATGGCACATACCATGATTGTCAGTAACCTTCATCCATTTAAAGAGAAAATAAATCATTTGGGAACAAAAATGTTCTCTAAGGGTGTGTAATGAATCAACTCTTATTGAGAACAGCACATGGCATACATATTTCATGAAAAAAAAATGATACTTTACACATCTACACAGAATAATGGGAAAGAAAATATGGTATTATGTAAAGCAGGTGGTAAAGAATATCTGTTTTATTACCTTACAGTCTAGGTAATAAACAAAGAGGTAGCATAGGTAAGATTAGAACAATACCTTGCATTCTTATCCTTTAATGATAAAGGTAGATGGCAACAAAGTAAAGAAAACTAAGTAACATAATTGTGATACAAATGTGTTATGTTTTTAAATACATTTTGCATCTATTGAAAAGAATCACATTATTAATTTCTATTTATGTAGTAAATAACTTCTATTTATTTTATTGTGTTAAACTTTGCATTCATAGGATAAATACTGCTTGGTTTTTATAATATCATTTTGAAACATTGATGAATTTGATTTGCTAACATTTATTATGAACTTTGCATCTATGTTCATGAGTGATATTGGTCTGTATTATCTTTTAAAGTTCTTGTGTCATTCTAGTATGGTTTTAGTCAATTCAGACTGCTATAACAGAATACCACAGACTAGGTGGCTTAGCTAACAAACATTTTATTTCTAATAGTTCTGAAAGCTGGGAAGTTCAAGATCAAAGAGCCTGCAGACAGATTCTGTGTCTAGTTAGAAAATTCTTCCTGGTTTGCAGATGGCCATCTTCTTGCTATATCCTCAAGTGACCTTGGCCAGAGAGAACAAGCAAGCTCTCTTGTCTTATTTGTAAGTGCACTAATCCCACTCATGAAGGCTCCACCCTCATGTCCTAACCGCCTTCCAAAGAGTCTACTTACCTCCTAATACTATTACATTGGGGGTTAGGATTTCAACATATAGATTTTGAGGGAATATAAACTTTCAGTCTGTAACAAGTACCATGGTAATAATGGCCCAATAAAATGAGTTAGAAAGCATTTCATCCTCTATTTTCTAAATGACTATACGTAAAATTAATATTATATATTTCTTAAGTACTAGAGTCACCATTGAAGTCATGTTTTCCTGGAGTGCATTTACTGGTTGTTGTTGGAACTTATTAAAACATGAATTCAGTTTATGCAAGATACATAAGACAAAACATATTTGTTATTCTTTGAGTCAGTTTTAGTAATTTGTTTCTTTCAAGTATGTTTTAAATTTTATCTAAATTAGCTGGTATAACATTGTTCCAAATATTTTCTTTTTATTCTTTTAACATTTGAAGCATCTAATGCAATATTTCTTCATTTAAACTTGATATTGGCAATTTGTATATTCTATATTATTCACCAGTCTTCCTAGTGATTATCTTATTAATATTTTAAAAGAATGAGATATTATTTAGTATGCTTTCTATAATATCTAAATATTTATGAATTTTCTAGAGAGCTTAATGTTACTAATTTCTATTTTAATATTATTTTGATCAAAGAGCATATTCTGCATGATGTCAGGTCTTAGATAGTTACATAAATGTTTACTTAGATCGTTATAGAAATGTTTGTAATGA